CATGGCGTTAACGTGTTAAGATAATTTGACTCATAACATAAAACTTTGTTTCTTTTCTTACAATTTTTTTTTTATTTGATAAGCCGGTGAACTATCGGACGAATCACCCGATGGTAAAGCAATTGGCGCCGCCTATGGACACTTGGAACACCAGAGGCGTTACATGTGCGTGTGACTACGATTCGAAAATCACGTCAACATGGGAATCGAATTCAAAACTCTTTGTTTTTGCATTATATACGACAGTAGCACTACATGCGATTACATTCCAAACGATAAACATTTTAAATGATTCGAAGAAAATTAGTTTTTCTCTCTATCGCTAAATTCATAGAAAAGCTGCCTATCGATTTTCTCCACTTGTTTTATTTTTAAACCGGTTCCAGTTAACGACTGGCGCGCTGAGACAGCGCGACGTAATTATTGATTTTGCAACTGTTAACGTGTTACTAACTAAATTGTATTTCGTTGTGTCTACAATAGTGATGCTAGTACGAGTACTGTCACAAAGGGACTACGAACGACAGACCGTACAACAGTTATCTTGAAGCTTTCAAGCTGCGAACCCACCTGCTAAGTTTATTTTTATAGGATAAGCCGGTAAACGAGCAGACGGATCACCTGATGGTAAGCAATCGGCCTCGCCAATGGACACCCGGAACACCAGAGGCGTTATAAATGCGTTACCGGCCTTTTGAAGATTAGGAATTTGAGAATTGTTTGGGTTTCCGAGATTGGGGAAGGGGGGGGGGGAAGTAATTAGGCCTCCGGTAACCTCATTTACACGACAAAACGCAACGAAAGAGTTGTTTCACGACTTCGCCTGCCGATTTCACCTGACATACCTATATGGCGCGACTTATTATGTCCACAACGACATTGATGTTGCCAGGTATGTCGATCAACATCCGGCAACTGCGTACTACTTCTCCTTACTTTGGGGACATTTGTCCCCGAGTGTCATCACCAAGAGTTAATAAATGCCCACTGTTGAGCAAAGCCTTTTCTCACACGGAGAAGGTTCGGCACACTTACTCATTGCGGGTTGGCGATTTCAAACTTATAATTAGAAAAAAGTCCAGGTTTCCTCACGATGTTTACGTTTACCGTTTGTCTGTGGTGTCTTAGTAATCTTAGAAAGTACATAGTATATAACTCGGAAAAAGTCACAGTAGTACTTGCCGTTGGTTAATTTGGAGCCCGCACCCTCATTCATGAGAAGTAGGCGTCTTAACCTCCGGACCAGCACGACATTCGGTTACTTAATGTATACTTGGACTAATACAAAATTTACCTCAATCTGTCATCAATCATGAATTATTGTTGTAAAAGAGGGATTTTCATACAGTCTCCTTTTAAATTCTGGATTTAAGATTATTGTTAAAATGCTGTGTAGCTGAGTGGGTCTTGATAAGGCGAGAACAATAGTTTGACACTCTAAATGTCAAATGCAAAGATGGGCATTGTTGGTTGAGAGTAGTTGCAACGGACTAAGCGGTCCAAATATTGTTTTGTTTACCGTCACACTGTTGTATTTTAGTTTAAATCTGCAGTTTCACATCAGATTAACTCGTCGAGTACCGGTTTTATAGACACAATTAAAGAACAATAGGTCGCGGTCACCGGTGACCGCTTGGTGTTTGACAGTTTAATAGCCAGCATGATGGTTTTATGCTGACTGTATGATTTGCTATAATCTCCACACTAGGCTAACAGGTTGAGATTGCAGTTTAAAAAGTTCAGGTCTAGCAATAAACGCTATGGCTTGGTTTCTGAAAAATGTATAGTCTGTCTAGCTATACAAGGTGTAGTTCTGAAACCGTGGCATTTCTCGGAGGCATGTCACAGAAGTCTTAAGGTTCAATGTAAGAAAAAGTTTCGGGAAAACAGTTAAAAATACACCTATAATAAATCGTGTAAGTTCGACAAACTTTCAGAATAAGCGACAGCAATGTTTCTTATTGGAGTTTTATAGAATTAGGAATAATATCAATTAACGTAATGGCACCAATGATCGACAGTTTTAGAAGGTGGTGTGTTTGTTTCTTAGATTACGAGTATTTTATTATGTTTTAAAATAAAAGTGACGTTGTATACGATAAAATATGTCCTTGAGATATGAATAGGCTATATTTTCATTTTTAAATATGATGTGGACTAGTATTAAAACCAAAAATAATAAATATTAATAAAATCCCCGATATTCGACACTAGAACTCCAATAATCGACACCCAGTTATCGACAATTACCAGTTATCGTCACCCAGTTATCGACTATTACCCGCAATGAGACAGTAGACTGATTTGATACATTAGTTAGACCGTAATCAAAAGGAACAATTCAGTAAGTATTAATTTATTTGTCTTTTATGTTTAGGTACTCATACATTGTTTTTATAAAATATGTCAAGTCTAATAACACTGACTACAAACTTTAAAAATCTTCACCAAAATAAGCTTTAATCTTGAATACTGTTTTATTTTGATAAAACTATACACTCTGATAAGATTAAATAAGTACAAATTAGGGAAATCAACAATAGTTACATATTTATTAAAAAAATACTCTTACTAAACTAATTATATATTTTTTTATATTTCTAATCACTCTTTTGGTAATTAATAATTATAAAATACTTATTTAGAAACAGAAACAATCCTTTGGAATGAGATAACTACTTAACAACTAATAGTTAATAATCTAATAGTTAATGTAGGGTGAGATGGGATTTGTGGCCATCCACAAAGAATAAAATCGGTTTTTCAATATTATTTTGCTCTAACCAAGGGTTGAAAACATTAGTCACATATTCATAGAAGGTGCTGCTGCACATCCACCCACTTTCTGACTTACCTATTGCCCATTCATCGGGAACACTAGCAGCAACTGACGAAGGAATTCGTTCATAACTAAATACGATCATTGGAGGGGCAAGGTCTCCGGCTGCATTTCCCGTGATAAGGACAGTAAGGTTGTCCTTCTCATCACCACACTTACTATAAGGGTGTTTATCTCCTTTTTTGCAGATAACACGATCAGGTTTCGGCGACAAGAAAAACGCGCTTTCGTCTGCATTGAATAGCCTGTGTGGGTTGTTTAGAATATTTTTTAAGTTATGTTCTTCTAAATAACTTTCGATTTCTTTAAACCAGGTCCTAATGTTATCCTCCGATACATTATCTCGAGCTCTCGACAAGTTATCTGGTACTCTTTGTGACAAGTTTGGATGTCTTTTCATGAATGAGTGAAACCATTTCTTACCAGGCCTATTATTAGTAAAAGGATTTTTCCTGTTTTGATTAATTATTAGTTTTTGAACACTGTCCAGTAGACAGTCTTTAGTTAGGGGAATATGCTTTTCAGCTAAAGTTAATAACCATTTTTCTAAAATTTCTTCTTCTACTTTTGTTAAGATGGTACTTGGCCCCATACTACAACCAATGGAAGTTCTTCGTGTTATTTTGTCATGAAGAGTAATTCTTGGTACTCCGAAACGTTGCGCAGCACTTGCTATCTTTTCTCCATTCTTAACAGCTTCAACTGCTTTTTCAATCTGGTCGAGAGTGTAGTTTTTTCTCGGAGCCATCTGTAAGAATCAATTACCTATTACTGGTAACTTAAATATCTACCAATTCGGCAAAGAAAAGATGACCGTCGGTCACCGTATTCTCTTGTCAAATGTAACAAATAATTAATGGAATTGCAATGTGTCGAAATGGATAAGTATTTACCTAGTATTCATGACCTTTGACTTAAATTCAATATAAGTACTTAAGTCATAAAAAATTAAGCAATTATTTTAAATTCAAATCCAAAAATAATTTATTTCACAGTTAAACAAATTTTATTTTTATAACAGAAAGAATTATTATCAGTGTAATATATTTAATGTATAAAATACCTACTAAATTTAGTTTATAAAATGTATGTTCCTTATTAAATGTAGTTTTTTTCTTGGAGACATCTGTATGAACCAATTATCGACACATTTCAATCCCATTAATCGACATCGTGTCGAATACTGGTAACTCTACTTTAATAAACCTAATTTAAATATCTAACAATTCTGCAAAGAAAAGAGAACCATATTCCGTGGTTACACAAAAATAATTTTAATAAAATTATTATCGACACTCGTCGATGATTGGAGCAAGTCAATTTCTGAGGACCAGTAATCGACACGGGCAATTTAGGTTAAAACAATAACCTCCTAACTTTTTTTATAACATAAATCGATCTTATCATTCCCATAATACGGCTTAAAAACCATCAAATTAATATAAGTTTCAATATATGAAAATAATGAACATATTTTGTACTTACGTTCTTACAGAATCCGCTTAGAAATGCCGTTATTTTATGAGGAACACTAGCCGAACTAAGTTCTCACACGGCCATTTGTAAAAAAAATGGCGGATTTCTTTCAAATGTCACTGGATGACAGCAGGAAGCGTATTGTCTGAGCCACAGTATAGCAATATTAAAAAATCGTATTATAACTCTTATTTTCTCTAATTAGAGAAAAAAATTGTCGATCATTGGAGCTTGTCGATCATTAGTGCCACTACGTTACGTGTTTGAATTTGTGTGTGTAAAGTCGCGTTATAAAGCTAGTTACAAGACGGCGGCGTGTAGTTCGCACTTACGGATTTCCGTAGTTTACAGAAAATTGAAAAATATTTACCCACAATTTGTATTGATTCGTACTCAGAATCGATAGCCAAGTTACCTCCTAGAAAATGACGCAGGTTAAAAAACAACACATTGTATAATCTCGGTATGAATTTCGGGGCCGAGTGAAGAATTATTGAATTTTGATTGTTCCAAAAAAAAGACTCTGGAAGTTAGGTCGTGTATGGTATAGAATTCAATCAGTTATAAAGAACCCATAACATACACTTCACGTAACATTGTACTTCAGACGATCGTGTTAAATAAACAAACAACAAAATATCAGTGAGTTCTCAATAACTGACTAATTGAGCAGCTTGGCACTCACCTGCGGCAGATGTCTAATTTTTCTCGTCGCCTGGTGTTCCTTCCCGCCCGTGCCCGATAAGCACTTCCCGTTTGGCAGGCTGTTGCCAGCCGCACCCTTTATCTCTTCCTTCACCTCCCCGCCCACCGGCCTCGATATCGGAATGTTGTGCTTCTCAAAATAGCCGTTCTGTATCATTTGGTCCAAGGAAACTTCCAATTCTCTTACTGGAACTAATTTCCTCCCGCAAATAGGATCGTCAACCACCATCTTTCTGTTACAGCCCGACACCTCAGAAAATTTCACGTTCTTTTTCACCTCTTCGGGCTTTTTCGGGCGAGCTCGGCCCCGCTCGGGCGGGTCCGTTGTCCAATAGCGAGCACTCTTATCAGATATTCGGTGAGGCTTACACACCGCAACATTTTTCGGTTGCTTCAAACTAGAATTCGTTGGAGCGTTCAAGTTAGTTTTAGTAGAATTACTCGTTAAATTTATGGTTGGTTGTAAAGGTTTCTTTGAATTAGTCTCTTTTGGTCTAGTCTCGATAGCTTTCCTATAAGATTCATAAGATTCCCGCGTCCGTCTCTCGTTTTCGATTCTAAAGTCGTAATGGTCCTTCTTGTACCTCCGATTGTTTCTGTCCTCATAGTTGTAATAGTTTCGTGGCAGTGAATTGTATTTGATGTCGTAAGTCGTGGGGAGGTTCAAGTACTCGGGCCTAATAGGTCTGAACAGGGAGAGCCGACCTTGTGCCTCGTCGAAGTCGGAGTATATATCTTCATACACATAGCCGTTCTTGCGGCGCGGCCGGTCGTGTAGATCACGTCGCCTCTCCTGCCTGTATCGATTGGTCTCTCTATCGTACGGTTCATATCGCCGTCTGAATTCGTATTCATATTCGTAATCAGGCCTCCTTTCATAGAGCAATCTCTCGCGGGAGCCGGCCATTGTCCCCTTATTAGATTTTTCCCGCCTGAAAAGAAAAGAATCGTATATTAATGAGGGATCGGCGAGATTCAACGGCTTTGCGGGCGGTGAATAGTAAGGCGTGGATTGTTCGGCATTCTGTCGCGTTTTACGACGATATTACCGAGGTGTAAAGACGGATAGTTAAATTATAGGTGCCTACATGTATACTCGGCACCTTTTTAGTGCCGTCCCCGAATTTTAGGGGCGTAATACTGAAGCCATATTTTGGAATGTGGGATTAAAAACACAATGGCACATTGTTGGGCCGGCTGTTAGTAAGAGCTGTAATGAAATACGTTTTTATATGAGTGTGTGGTTTAAACAACGTGGATTATGATTGTTTTAAATTGTGTTTTAGATGTTTTTTATTCTACGACTTTGTTGAATTCTTATATAGTATACTTTTCCCATTTATAATTAGACAAACCCAAAGCAATTTAAACCTAAACCCTATAGTTATAAGTGCTCATAAATTAAGCAGCTCACGGCTATATCGTTAATAACATTTCGCCCTTACCCATCTCATCTTCCATAATTTTCGTACTAAAAGCGCTGTACGACAAGCCTTTCTGTGTCGACTATACTAATAAACACGACCACGGGAACATTTGCATAGGGAATCCAATTAGATGTAAAACGGAACGTAGCGTATATCTGTCCGCCATCTTGGATCGTGTAATATAATCTCAATTTCTATGCAAAGCTGCGAAATGAATTTGTTAGAGATTCGTGCAACCGCCGCGCGGTGGATATGTTGAATACGATGAGATTAGGTACTGCTACATGCAATGGAGGCAAGCGAATGCATTTTATTATGTAAAAGATTTATGCTTTTCATTTCTTTTTAATATAGAGATGTGCGGGCTGGTCCTATTGGTTACAAGTGCAACTGTTTTGGTCTGAGAATGAATTTTATTTTTTTGTTTGGAATTTTGTAGACGGAAAATATTTGGGGTAAAAGTAGTGTGGCAATAAAGCTGAATATATTTCAACTGTTCATGCGGGTGTCATAACAGCCGACTAAGAGACCATAAAGATAGAGATCGACCACCAATCACACTACTATCTGAAAAACCACCTGCTAAGTATGTAAGGGTCGGCAAGACGCATGTAATGCCCCAAGAATCCAAACCCAATCCCGATCGATCGACATTGGGATTGCTAAATTTCGTACTCTCGAGTTGCAACACTAGCGCCCATTGCATACGTATTGCGTGGATATCGAATGAACTAAATGGTATAGAGTTTGTCTTTATATTCCGTACTCGGAATGCTATTGTAAAAACTACGATTATTTAAAAAAAAATTGCCCCACACTAGGACGATTGTGGTTGTATAGTGTTGACATTGAATAATTATTAAGATTTTATTGAATTGAAATTGCATTGACATTGGAATTGGTTTCAAGAGTACCCAGGTAGGCCTAAATAGTGGTGGGATAAAAAAGGAAGATTATGACAAACCCTTTTGTTTATAGTAGGCCCTTATTTTAACAGTAGACTGTCATGAGCTAAGATAATGATAGTTTAAAAAAACAAACTACAGAAATACGTATCGTTAAAATACTAACTACTAAATCTGTACCAACCAGCCAAAAGTTGACACTAAGACCGAAAATATATGAGCAAAAGCCTCGACCTCTGCCCACCCGCAAAAAGCACAAAAGCGTGAGCATAAATAATACTTTCTGGCATGCAAAATAACTTCCGTAATATAATAACATTCCATTTTGTGAATGAGCGTCCCGGGCGGGCGCCGCAGACTGAGCGCTTTAGTGATGCACGCTGGTACAATTTCAAATGTCGATTGTTTTAATATTTTTATACTTAGCGCCGTTTTCACCACCTCTATATAAGAACATGATCATTTTTAATATAACAATTAAAAAAGAAAGAAAAAAAATTACGTTCTTAATTCAAATTTATCTAGTAGATAACGGCTATCCATATATTGTGAAACAGGCCCTTAATTGGATAAAACAGCTGTCTTTGTTGGTCCTGTGGTTCTAAGAACGAGTGCCAAGTAAATGCTATCGACTAATATGTTGTTTAAATCTGTATGCATCATATACCTACTAAGAAGTACACTATATTCATTCATTCATCGATTATCGGACTAAATACTATTGGGTAAGAGTCTTATGTAATTGGAGGCGAGTGTATTGAAAATTACCATTGGAGTTATCACTAGATGACTCCTAACAAAATTCTACTAAATACTAGTATTTTACATGGACCTATTGCTAACATCGTCTATCCACTGACACAACACCCTAAAAACAGTTTTCTCGGTATCTTATCAGACTTTGAGGGCTATAACTAATCAAATAGGTAATAGATTATAATACCACGTTTGTTCATATGTGACAACTGAGACGTACCAACCAACATTTTTGATACTCGTTAATTGGTAGTTATATTATCGATATCGAAGGAACATCACTAGCTCGTGGTCCCGTCTGGCGCAGTGCGGTACATGGTCCATCGATAAATCTTCTCGAACGTTTAAACTAAACGACACAACACCAGTTATTGTGGCCCCGCTCTAGTAAACAGTTGACAGGCTTCCTTCATGACGAAATTAAGAGAGAATCATATTTCAACCGTATTCCTAAAGGATTTGTCTCGAAAGCAAAAGAAGCTCTTGATGAACTAACGTTTTTTTGTATTAGTTGGTCTATTTACAGGCCCTCCCCCCTCTTTCGCCCCTAACGATGGACGTCTATTGGAGGTTTCATATAAAAACATAACATCACGCCTTTTATCCCCGAAGGGGTAGGCAGAGGTGCACATTATACCACTGTACAATATAACACCCACTTTTCACTATTTATGTTACGAGTCCCATGTAATAGGGGGTGAGCCTATTGCCATATACCGGGCACAATTCCAGACTCCGTGCTACTACTGAGATTTTTTTAAAAACCCTGTAATACTTTGCCCGACCCGGGAATCGAACCCGAGACCCCTTGCCCGGCAGTCGCACTTGCAACCACCCGGCCAACGAGGCAGTCGAGTAAAAAGTATACCATTATTAGTTTATAATTATAACTTTCGTGAGACATACTAAATAAATTATTATGTTTTCGGCTTACTCACGTAATTATTTGACGAGGAACTCGACTAGTTATTGCGAATTTCCCTTGAGGGACAGGCAGAAACATTCTATAATTTTTTGGTGAATGCTGAGATGCTTAAGACATGTATCGAGTACAAATATCATGGCAAACAAACACAATTAAACAGCACAGCCTGGTAATTCCTATGACCTGCCTCAACATAGCTTACGTTAAGGCTGTTTAAGTTGAAAATGAACTCTTAAAACATTAATAGTATGAAATTTAAACTAAATTACTAACTTGCAATAAAAACTAACACTAGAAAACATGCAGTAGATAACAACTATTCAGAAAAAAATCCTTTATTTGATTCCAGAACAATATAGACGTTCAACTCCCTGAAACAATTGCCAATTGCATGCTAATTGGCAGAATGTAGCTGATCAAATTATTTTATAATACCTACTGTAACATCTACACTTTTTTTTTAACCCCAAGTTGGGAAATCCTCATGGAGCCCTCTCGCATGGGGAGGACGAAAGGGACTGTCAGACTCTTACTGACTAAAACCCACCCCGGTGTCCCGTCTCACACGTGGGTACGAGGGTGCGGGAGTCACATTCATCCGCAGCCCCCGAACTCGTGGCAGCCTGCCTTGCCAGGCCCCATCTCAAAATGCACGGAGAAGTGAGGTGTTGGTCTTCTCCGTGCAACGTCTCGGAACATCTACACTTGACCTATATTCGCAATAAATGATTGAATTTGAAAAAAACTTTTCGATAGAGCCTCGCACTGATATAAGGCGATATTGACTGAAATGTTCCTTGTGTAGCACTGAAATATAATACGTTCGTCTGCTGAACATTTCAGCGAAAGCCTACTTTCGTCAACAGCTGTGTTTCAAATGTTCAACGTCAGCTTTTGTCCAAGGAAAACTGAATCTGGAAAACATATCGTAAGTACCAGAGAACATACATTAATATCATGTTACAACTTCACTATATGGGGTTGATATATCCATGTGGATAAAAACCCCAAGTCTTTATTCGGGCAGCCGCAGACAGAAGTGAGTGTAGTCTTATTTTTTACAATCCTTGCTATAATATTATAAATCGGAAAGTGAGTTTGTTTGTTTGTTTGTTCCGCTTTCACGCCGTAACTACTAAACCGATTGCTTTGAAATTTTGCAGACGTAAAGTTAAAAATCTGGATTAAATAATAGGGTACTTTTTATCCCGGAAAAAATTGATATTTCCTAGGAAAAACAAAAATATTGGTATAGATGGCGCTGTATGTACTGATATAGATGGCGTTGTATTAATAAAACCAGTCAACGAATTACCTACTTATTGGAAAAATTTAAATAGCGCGATATAACCGAATTCCACGCAGAACGGCGGAACGGAGGTACTAATTAACGTGATTTTTTAACTGAAAGTTAAAAAATCACGTTAAATACTAATTAACGTGATTTTTTAACTGAAAGTTAAAAAATCACGTTAATTAGTACCTTTTTTTAAGTTGAACGGATGGATTGTCACATAGGCTACTTTTTATCCTTTTGTGACGCGAGCGAAGCCGCGGGTAAAAGCTAGTTACTAAATGCGAAAGTTTGTGAGGGTGTATGTGTGTGTGTGTGTGTGTGTGTTTGTTACTCGTTCACGTCAATACGGCTGCAGGGATCGAGATAAAATTTAAAACAGAGGTAGATTATGGTTTGGAATAACATATGTGCTATTTTTTATCTCACTAGAACGCGGGCGAAGCCGCTGGTAAAAGCTAGTTTAAAATATTTCGACTAATTCCATTATTAGACGAGTATTAGTGGCCGCGGAGGACTTAACGGGTTACCGGGGCTCCGGCTTGAAGGGCAGGAGTAGGAACGGGGTGGTTTTTTGTCAGTAAGAGTCTGACACTCCCT